TGGAGGTACACGCTTCCAAACACTAGTGGATCTAACGAAGGAAATCTTTGATTACTGTCTCCCGCGCAACATCACGATACAAGCAGAATACCTGCCAGGGGAGTTGAATCTTACGGCAGATTGGTACTCCCGACACTGGAGAGACGTCAGCGATTGGCAAATGGACCCACAGATATTTGCCCTCCTGAACGAACAGATGGGGCCCTTCATACTGGACCTATTTGCCTCACGCAACAACCACCAAGTGCCACAATTTTACAGCTGGCTCCCAGACCCGGAATGCCTAGCGATCGACGCTTTCACCCAACAATGGCCACCACGAGGAGCTTATGCCTTTCCCCCATTCGCCATGATTGCGAAGGTTCTCCACCACATTCGGCGACGGGTAGTGAGATTAACTCTCCTGACACCCAACTGGCCGAGTCAACCCTGGTTCCTGGACCTGCTCGAACTGGCTTGGCAGGACCCGATTCTACTACCGATCGGTTACAACCTACTCAGAAACCCAATGGGGAACCCACACCTGATGCTCCTAGATGGACGCCTCTCCCTGATAAATAGGTAACGGTTCAGCGCTAAGTGATCTATTAGAAACTAAAACAAATAAGGAAGCAGCAACCTATAAGTATGAGGTACCCTCAAAAAACCTCACAGAGAATAAGGTAGACATAAAATGGTATATAGGTCGCGCTGTAGGAACAAAGGGATAATATAAAAAGTGAATAAATAAATAAATAATAAAAAGTCCAAAATAATAAATCAACCTGTATGATTCTTGAGTATATATAGAGTCCAATGAGTATCTGAGACTTCTTGTGTTGGAGATATCTTGGTTCACTTGTAGATGTATGGGTACATGGAAAAGACAAGAAAGACAAAATGGCGTCACTAATAAAATATGCATGATTTTAAAAAGTAATAAAAGTTGAAATTTGAGGTGTAAGAACATTTGTAAGGACAGTCCAAAGGTGTCTGTATATTTAAAAATTTAAAACGAGTATTTATTGTTGATAATTTAAATTGTTGATATAATGTGTTCGGAGAAAACCCGATCACGTGATCGGACATCAGAGAATTCTGGGGAATGTATGCTGGGGCTGAGAGACTGGCGCGATTGTACACGCCCATCTCTCAGCGTCAGCACACTAAGGGGAGGGCACTGGAGGGGCAAGGAAGATCGATGGCCAAAATAGCCATATGATTTACAAAGAAAAAGAAAACCAAAAAGACCCTGGGGGGATAAAGGTCTGCCGGAGGGTAGGACCACCATGGAGGGCGCCCAACAGAGTAGGGAGATGAATTGGGTTTTTTCAACTCAAAACCCTATCTCCCCAAGGCAGTGGTGTATCCTGGTTTTGTGCTGCCCTAGGCAGGACAAAACTCAGGTGTCCCCACCACCCCCCCTGCGCCAGCCTCACCCAACCCTTCCCCCCACCCCGCCTTCTAAATACACACACACACATTCACTGACAGATACGCATACACACACTCACTAACAGACACACTCACTAACAGACACACACACACTCACTCTAACAGACACACACACAGTCAGACACACACATACACACAGTCAGACACACACACACTAACAGACACAAACTGTCAGACACACACACTAACAGACACACACACAGTCAGACACACACACACACATACTAACAGACACACACATACTAACAGACACACACACACAGTCAGACACACACACACACACACACACACATACACCATCAACGTTGTCAGAGCCGCCATCTCAGCAGCCCACATACTGTCCCAAGGAAGACCGGTAGGACAAGATCCCCTGATCTGTCGACTGTTACGGGGCATCAAACTGAGACGACCCCCAGCACCAAAATATCAACATCTATGGGATGTGAATGTGGTACTCCGTTTCCTAAGGGGATGGCCCCCTAACGAACTATTATCTTTAAAACAACTGACGGCAAAATTCACCTTCCTACTGTGCATGGTCTCATTCCGGAGGGTATCGGATGTCCGGGCGTTCGATAAAGACGCCTTTTCTATAAATCCGGAGGGAGTCACATTCCACGTTTCACAGAGGACCAAATCGGACTCGTCATCGGTGTTTTACCCATTCTTCACTCCGGACCCTCAACTGTGCGTGGTCAAGACTCTGCGAGCATATGTGGCGGCAACACAAACATTACGCCCACAAACAGAAAGACAACTTTTGGTATCATATGTTAGCCCCCATGGTCCGGTTTCGGTCACTACTTTAGCCAGATAGATAAAATGGTTCCTTTCTCTATCCGGCATAGACTCCTTTAGCGCACACTCCGTGTGAGGGGCGGCGGCATTAACCGCTTTTTTGGCAGGTGCATCTCTATCAGACATCCTGCAAACTGCTGACTGGCCACGTGAATCGACGTTTCGGACATTCTATTTACATCCATCGTCCAACGCCGCAGTCGCCCTTCTACCTAAGCGTTAAAAATGCAAATTATGAAGCCTCTTGTCATGTGGTAAAATTGAAGATTATGCTAGCGCAGTGTACTAATAATCTTAATTTTAATAATGACAGGAGGCTAATATTTTCCCTCCCTTCATCTTGACATTCTCACCCTAGTAAGGTAAGTAGATTTTAAGGGGGACAAACTTGATACTAATATATATTTTTTTATCGTGCAATGTTTTACGGTAATCAATACTTCTGTTTTTCCTAGCAATGTGGAGTGGATTAGCATAATACACTTATGGATAACCGACTTAATCATTTAGAATTATCAACATACACATAAACATTCGCTTCAGGGAGGCGGAGCCTAACATCCAGACCGAGCGGACGTGCCAGGTCCGAGCTCCGACACAAAACAAACGATTTTGGGGGTACATACCCCACTACCTGGAGCAAATCTGCTCGGGTGAGGCATAACCGTATGGGGGACGCCCGGGCACATCTTCCGACACCCAAATCACTAGCCTGACGACCCGGAGACCCACACTGCGGTTGCCGAGGCCTGCGAGACAGAAGGAGAGGGAGAGACGGCCGCTCTCCTCTCTGCCAGCCTGCTGCAGAAGCACCTCGACCCTCAAACCTCCTAACCCCCCCCCCCCTGGACCGGAGGGGGATATCCCGGTCCTCGCCGTGAGCCCGGAGTGCCACACCTGCACAGACAGACGAGACACAGTAGAACTCCAGGGCCGGCGACACACGAGGCACGCACAAGATGGCGGCTGAGTACTCACCACGACAGCGGCTCCAGCCTGCAATCCCAAAGCAGCGTCCAGACAGCAGCACCGACCTCACAAGGCGCATTGATGAGCTGTTCGCCAAGTTCTGGGAGAAACTGCAGCTCCGAGCACAGAGCGCACAGACAAGTCGGAAAACCCCCAAGAGAGCAGGTGAGAGGGGCCACGTGCAGCCGACAGCGAGGGGGGCACCCTTGGGCACGGCACTGGATCACTCACCACCACGCACCCTCCACAGCCCAATACAGCCCTCCAAAGACTCAATTCAAACTAAAGGAAATCCTGGGATACAGCCTCACAGACAGCCCAACAGAAAGGCAGTGAACCAGCGCAGACTCGAGGGGGGCAAAACATATCAAGGCAGCCCACGCAGACGGCGGAGCGTAAAACCTAACCCGACCGCGACCACAACATCACTAACTCGAACCGGCAGCAGCCAGTGTCCACGCCGACCCACAAAAATCCCAACCGGGAACACACGCTACTCTCAGGGCGAACCGGAGCCCAGCACTGAGCAACTGACAGCGCGAGGGGAGCACAACCACCCCCAACGGGGCATCGGATGAACCACCTAGGACTGGGTCTCAATGACAGGCAAAGTGCCTAATATCCCTTACCTTCCCACAACCCAGATGAACTCTTATAAATGTATGCATGCACTTAAGCTTTAACATCCCTTCCCGTTGCTCCTGCCATGGACTGCAGGGGGGGGCTTCACTTGAGACCAAGCGACCACAAGATAAGCATACCTACCTATAGCCTCACCCATACTCACACAAGCTGCATTGGTAACTCAGCACACATAGCGCATACACCATAATCTCTACTGTCAAGCAGTTCATATAGCCTACCAAGCACAGTGGTAGTTATTTTCACCCTTTTGCTTAGCAACTTGCAACAAACATATACAGTACGAATTAATAGCTGCATTTCAATAGGCTGTTCAAAATGTCTAGCTAGCATTGTATTGTGGTTGTCTCTCCTAACACACCATTAACAAACACAATGCCTACAACCTACATCACAACTGTCCAGCTAACTAGCACACCTAACCTGCTGAATATCAATTACCCAAATGCTATTCTAACAAGATAAATGTTCAGTCAAGCTTGTTATCTCTATATAAAAAAATGTGCAAACTTCTATGCCACAATTTAATTTCTGTAACTCCTGAAACACGCCGTTGTGGCGTCTGTTGATAACCTGTAATTATCTGCACAACCAAAATAAAGAATTTAAAAAAAAAAAAAAAAAACATTCGCTTCATATGGTCTGTTCCGTATCACTGATACTAGTCTCCCTTTCTTTTCAGCTTAACAAGACTATGAATATATCGAAGTCAGTTAACAAGTCTTATGTTTAATGAAGAAGACTGGATTTGATAATTAAGTTTCCACGTTGGACTAGTTAATTCAAGTTGACTCGGGACACGTTTTGTCATACTATGAACTTGTGATGTCGCATTAGTCAAGAGGAAATGATTGGCTATGCTTGGACTTATATACTCTCTGACTCACTCTCATTCTTTTCTTTCTTTAAACAGTTTTTTTTCTTTGCTGCTATGGAGTTAGTAAAGAAAGTTTTTTTTCTTTGCTGCTATGGAGTTAGTAAAGAAAGTTAATGCAAAATATTCGCCTCCTGTCATTATTAAAATTAAGATTATTAGTACACTGCACTAGCATTATCTTCAATTATTCTTTAAAAATTGTTGTTTAATAAAATCAGCTTGCTCATTAAAAACTTCACCATCACTACAATTTCTAAAAATACGGACAAACAGTCCTGTAGGGACATTTCCCAGCCACGGTTTAAAATGACAGCTGGTGGTATCAATAAAACTATTTACATCCACCTTTTTAAAAAAAGTTTTGGTTTAAATAGCAGAGTTTTCAATGTAAATCTCAAGATCTAAAAATTGGACACTACGATTACTAAAATTGGTAGTAAGGACAATGTTATTCTTATTATTATTTAAAAACTTCAAAAAACGTTCGAGGGCTTCAATATCTTCCCTCCAGATGAAAAAAATGTTGTCAATGTATCTGCGATAGAGGACCAGGTTGTCACTCTGGCCATCTGCTCCAAAAAAGAAGCATTGCTCCCAATAGGACATAAAAAGGTTAGCATTGCTGGGTGCAAACCTGGTCCTCATTGAAGTACCGACTAACTAGAGGAAGTATGATCCCTCGAACCCAAAATAATTATACCGAATACTGAATATTGAATACCTACAGATGCCTTTATTGGAATAAGTGAGACACCGTAACTTTTTGAGCCTGGAGAGGCTCTTTGTCAAGCTTGATGAAGACCCTTTCAGGGGTCGTAACTTTGCGGTGTCTCTCTTGTTCCTATAAAGTAATTTGAAGATATTTGGAGTGCCTGGATCCTCTTTCTACTATTCATTTGGGCTGGTGCTGGCCCTTGGTTTAATTTTAGCACCCTTTTCTTCATGTAATTGGAGTGTGGTTCTTTTTTCCTTTTTTTTTTTACAAAATGAGAAATAGGCCCATCAAATCCATCTATGAAAATTCTAACTCTAGAAACTTAAAGAGCCTTGTCTCTTATATGGCATTGTAGCTTCACATAATAGTGCCAAAGGTATTGTTGTACTCAGAAGATGTAACTGAACTCAATATGGGAACAATAAAACCTTGTTCTATGTATTTATGCCAATATGTGCCAATTTTACTCCAATATTTAGCAGAGATGTAAAAAGCATCAAAATAACCTTGGGCAAATAGCCTGTGATGTCTACTTTATATAAATACAGTGGGACCTCGGTTTACAAACGCCTCGGTTAACATTATTTTCGGTTTACAAATGAAAATCCATTGAAAATAATGCCTCGGTTTACAATTTTTTTTCGCAATACCAAGCAAGTTTCCCCAGGATGCATTGCACCTCGGAGGTTTATAGCACCACCCCCTGCATGCTGGAGCCTATGGGTAGCACGTGGCGTCGAGTGTGAGGTGTTGGAGCGGCTTTTGCATCGAGTTTTGAAGCCATTCTGGAAATTGTTTGCAGTTGTTTTGGTACTTTTTGGTGCATTTCTCAAGCTGTGGAAAGGTAGGGAGCTGAGCTTCGTTGTTTGCATGCCTTTTATTGTGTGTTCTGCATTGTGGGTTGGTTTCCATGTGAGCTCATTTTGACTTTTTTCTGACCTCCAGAACGGATTAATTGGTTTTCAATGCATTCCTATGGGACACCGTGTTTCGGTTTACAAATTGTTCGCAATAAGAAACAACCCGGAGAACACATTAAATTCGTAAACCGAGGTCCCACTGTATATACTTTAGTGTGGCAATTTAGGTTTTGTGATGGCTACTAAACTTATAAGAAACATACCAACTTCTAAAATTGTTTCACATTGAAATTTTATTTTAGTCCTAGTATTTTGTGACCTGTAACTTTCAAAATAAGCGGAAATCCTATACATATTATGTGCTCTATAAATCAAGACACATAAATGAGTTTATTTGGAATAACTTTTTTTCTAAGCTGGATATATTATGCAAACGTTATTATTGTTTTCTTCCCCATTTTATAGCATTATTTTCTATAATTAATGAGAATTTATAAATGTATATCTAACATCGAATTAAAGCCCTTAACAACGGTATATAACATGTGTTGGTGCAATAGATGAGCGAGATGCAAATTGCAGTTGAACACAAACAGCATAAATTGCTTGTGTCCTTAAAGGGACACAGCTCATTGAAGTGGTCTGGGTGCAAACTCCCATCACTCTTAACCCTGAGCATCTAATTATTGCAGTTTTTACAAATCTCTTTTTTTTTTTACAAGAGATATACTCACAAACGGAGAGCAAATATATTTATTGCTCAATCCCAATAGGCATAGGTGGTATAATTCTCACGCAGCGACATCCTTGGTGGAGATTATACCACCTATTGGGATTGAGCAATACCTATATTTGCTCTCTGTTTGTGAGTATACCTGTTTTTATCTGCTTTTATTCTTTTAAAAACATACAGAGAGCACTATATTCTGTTTTTATTCCCCTTCCTGTATACTGAGGACATCTGAATGCCAGACTGCGGCACACCAACTAAGAACACCACCACAATTGTGAAAGACGTCTTCAAACAAGCACAAGGATCACCACCATATCCACAGATGGATATTGTACCATCCACATGCATAACTCTGTATGTACACAGTTACTATTCACTATTCCTGCAAACACATACACACACTGACCATTTTAACATCGATTACCCTGTAAACACACACTACTTACTATTATTATCACAATTTATGGGGATTTGTTTACACTATATGACCATACTGTGTTAAGCCCACTACTATAATAAAGGCATGAATATGGTGTAACCAAATCTCCATGTTTGTTTGCGAAGAAAGGGGATTTTAAGTAACCTTGTAAGATTTGCTACTTCCCTTAATCTGTATTTTGTATGTTTTGGTCACCACAGCAGCACCCCTACTAAGATATGCATTTTGTGGATTTTTTTTTGTTTGTTTTTTTAAGTATAAAGCACGACTGATGCAAGTCCCCTAAAAAACTGTTCAGCATACGTTTATGGGATAAGTAGTTTATTTTTCCAGCTGCATTTCCCATCATCATATTTGATGAGTAGAACAGTTTTATAAGCTGATAAGTATATCACTTATAAATAGATTAGTTTATTTACAGCCCGATTAGCAGTTTTGTAAACTGGGCTGGAAGGAGTTAGCAGCGCCAGGAGGAAGGTTTATAGCTGCAGGTCTTTAAATGTTGACATTTTAAGCAAAAACGAGGTACCCTCTGCACCATAACCTTTGTGGTTTAAAGTATTGTAGTTCTGTATATTTAAAATAAACAGTTCTTACTTTTCAAACACTGTAACTTTGTTACAATGCCTTATTTTGTGAAGTGCATTTTTTTCAGTATGATTGGACATAAAGTATTGAGAAGACACATGAACATACTAGTCCTATCTTTGTAGTGACTTTATTTCTATACAATCAGAACCCTTGGTCTGATGACATGTTCTGTTGGTTAAAGACCCAGCTCATCTAACAAACGTGGGTAATGTGAACAGTAAGCTGACTAAATATTGTAGCAGAGGCCCACAATATAAATATTACAGTCCATTGAAAATATTTGTGTAAACAGTCAGTGGTGCCCACCTTCCAGCAATAGGTTACGAAGGTAGAGGAAATCCACAGTGCAGAAATGATGATCGCGGCTCTGAAAGGCCACTCAGACAAATGTGCCATGACCTGGTTCCCATGGACAGATTACATCTCTCAGCGGAATGTAGCTAATTAAACGACAAACTGCTCACGTCCCATAGTGCCGAGACAACACACAACTGATTGACTGTTACCCCTCTCTTCCCCCCCGCCCCCTGTTTTTTTTTTTTCCCTCTCCTTTTCCTTACCAAGCCTATTTCCTCCTTCCCTCTTTTCTACCCTCCCCCTCAAGTGCACAGACCCCAATCACTGCTTTCTTTAATGCCATTCTCGGGAAGCAGGATAACATTGTCAACTAACTGCTAGCGGGCACTGCCAGACCCAACCCGTGATTGCTTGAATCACTTCAAACCTCTGATTAGCAAAATATATAGACGCAACCTGTCAAAACTCTGTACCCTTGCAATGAGATGCTCTATTAACTGATTGTAATGTTGTTTACCATTCTATTACGCTGCAATGTACGTTACATTTAATAATATCCAATTTCTTGAAAAACTGAAAACTAAAATAAAGATTGTTTTAAAAAATATATATATATATTTGTGTGAAAGTTGCACAAGTGGATAACGTAGTCGCAGGCTCTATACGTTTCTCTGAGTAAATCGATGTGAATACTCCGAAGAGGAATGAGCAGTTCACAGGTATGCTAGTTATTAATACATATGACATCCTATAAAATAGTTAAACAATAAAGACAAGCAACCTTGCCCATTACAAATGTTATAGATTACATTTTCCATGATGGATTGCAATTTGTTTGTAGGAAAGGGGAAGAAATAAAAATCTCTACTTTAGTGATTTTTACCAGAATAACAATCAATTGGACTGGCTGCAATTGTTAACAGAATGATTGAAACAGCAGAACATATTTTATTCTCATTTGAGTGATGATTATTAGTATTCCATTGACCAAGTGGTGTTGCCACAAAGGCTTGTAAGTCCAATTTCATACCACTGTCCATCAGTGAATTTTTTTTTTTTAATTCATCATCCTTAAAAGGAATACAAGTTTATCCAGTTAGCTATATCCACATAGAAATGGTTCTTGAAAGAACATCATATTCTTCCTTGTGGGTAAGGTGTACTTAGAGGTTTGAAGAACACAGGAACCTTCCAAGAAAAAGATACATCCAACTAGGAATCCACTGTGCAGCAAGAAACTGTAGGATTAAAGAGAAAAGAGTTATAAACAAATTGACTGCGGATTATTTAAAGGAACAATGTTATGCAATAAAACATTCAAGAAAAACCTTTGCAACATTCTGTGCATTAATGGGACACTCCGGTCACCATAACAATTAACTTCATCTAAATATTACAGGAAGAGCATGGTGCCGCCAGTCAGGGGTGCCACTGATTGGCTTGAGCAGCCAGCTGACCCTCTAAGTCAATCAGTAGCACCCCCACTGATATATAAAAAAAAATAAAGGAAAGAGATACTTCCATTTTTTTTTTTTAATCAGTGGGAAGCTATTGATTGGCATAGAATGTTGCGCTGGAGGCAACTTTTGGAGTTAAACGTTTGACCAGTGTACGCAGAGCCTCCCGGCACTATAACAACTTACTTTAGATGAAGTTGTTATGTTGACCGGAGTGTCACTTTAAGCCTGCCTTTATTTACACACCTCTCTTATAATAAAATATCTATTGATATCAGCAACCTTATCAGTGTAAGTACTGCTCAATCATCGAACTAGCAGCTGGACTCCCACCCAGCATACCTCCACTTAATGCACCCCAAGAAGAAAAAAAAACACTTTTGCAGGGCATCCTTATTCGCACAAACACATATTTTAGCTATACACGCATAACTAGCCACTTACAAACATGTACACAGAGAACTATTCATTCAGAAACTATATGAAACCTTGTATTTCAGATTTTTGTCCTTAAGAATTTCAAGACTGACTAGCCTCTCATAATCCTTAATAGATGGCCTGCCTCTGAAATAAGCACAGGCATACTTTTTTTTGGTACAAAGAACCAGACAATGATTACTTATGGCGTTGATTTAATAAGCTTTCCAGACTATTCAATACTGTTAGAACAAATGATTTTCCTACAGAAGTCAAAGTCTATGGGAATTTTTGAAGATAAAACATTTTTTTTTTACATTTTTCCAACACTATTGAATCATTTTAAAAATCTAGGCGTCTACCCCAAGCAAAATCTACCCCAGACCATGAAATTGCCAAGGAAGTGCTCTTAAACATTTCACTGCTATTGGAAATAAAAATAGCTGCATTATTGCTACACATTGAATATCAAAATAAATGAAAGCGACACTCCAGACCCCTAAAGCACTATAGTTTGCTAAAGTGCTTTATGTGTGAAGAGTGTTCTTGTTTTCATTTTACAAAGAGCAGATTTCAATAGAAATTGACACTTTTATAAATTAAACTTGTTTACACTCCGTGAGCTGTCAGACAGCTGATCCTGTTACTTTAGGATTGTTCAGCTCCGTGGAGTTAAACTCAAGAAGCAGGAATTGCAATCCCAGAGCACCTGCTCCGCAAAGACTACATTGGGAAGTCTGTGATTGGACAACCACAGAAAGTCTGGGCTGGGTTAGAAGGGAAGGTTATGTAAAAGCTGCAGACAAGATATCTGCAGCTTTTTACAAGCTGATTTTAGCTATACCCCCAATGGAAAAAAAATGCATTATTAAATGCATGCATGTTTTAATTGGAGGCATAGCCACTAAGCAATCATTTTTATGGGTTGTTTTTTTTATTTTTTTTATTTGGGCAGAGTGTCTTTAAAGCAACAGAAACAAATTACTATCAAAATAATATAGACCAGTGATAGGCAACCTTTGGCACTCCAGATGTTGTGGATTACATCCCCCATAATGCTTTTACACAGATAATGCTGGCAAAGCATCATGGGAGGTGTAGTCCAAAACATCTGGAGTGCTGAAGGTTACCTATGCCTGATATAGACTATCCATGCCCATATTTACAGTTCAGGTGAATGGAAAATAAAAATCTATTTTATAGAAATTTAAGACATGACTACTCAGTCTTGCTTCAGTTGAGTATACCGCAGGAGGAGTACAAGTATAGCATGAGAAGTATACATTATGTGGGGAGGGAGAAACAGTCCTGCTCTGCCAAAATAAAACAGCATCAGCAATTTTAAATATACTATTAAAATAATATCAAATTGGTACAATGAACATTGGCTACTTTACTACAAAAATACAAAATAAATTATTCTGTATGGACTACCAGGGTTCTGGTGAATTTATCCTTTCTGGAACTGTTGCTGCATCTATTGTCATCACCACTTTCTTAAATAAAGAATGAGTTTTTCACCTGGGCATGCATTTTGTAATTACCTCGATAGAGTGAACCCAATATCCCGTTGTCCTAGTCGAAACACCAAGTGTTCGTACAGCGTGACGTGCATAGGTCTCTGGTGCTGGGACAAGAAAAGGAAGACGATGTACAACTTTGATTGAAGTTGTACAGTTTGTTGCCACACAAAGTGGTATCAGTGACTGCACAAAGATGCCTTTAGGAGAGAGTTCAGACTGAAGTTTCAGGCTAAATGCATCTAAATAAACCTGAAATTTGAAAGGAAAATAAGAATTTGCCAAGGTATTATTACAAATAAAATGAACCCAGATATTATTAACAGGGTTATCTAAGTGTATATTGCATGGAATTTCAAATTTAATGCCAAAATATACGAATTGGAAATCTTTTCCAAGTCATCTATGCTTCCAGTTTGGTTAGTTTGGTCTAAAAGTTTACAATTCCCAACAATTCTCATTTTAGTGAATAACCCTGCCTGCGTGTAAATCAGTTTCTAAACATAGATATTAAGGGACCTCCTTAAGTCCTAAAGATGAGACAGCATATGGGGTGATGTCACAGGAAGTGGAGTTGGTCGCTGCATGGAATGAGTTGCAGGCAAAAGTGTAAGCAAAACCGTTTTTCCACTTTTTTCAAATTTTATTTAGACGGGCTCTGAAGCTAAATTGGGAGTAGAACACTACAGTGTTAAAAATACTGTTTCTATTCCTACCACTGTCGTTTTTCTTTAAGCATTCATATTGAAATTACATCTGCCAGAGATGCCAGGCACAGAACACTAACCATTACAGCCCACTGTAGCAGTTATGGTGCCAGGAGTTCCGAGGCACGGTCTAATTGTAAGCAGTCAAACCATTTTAGTACGGTTTGACAAATTACCTGGATCTCCCAGAAGCTCACAACTAATCCTGACTTCTACTGTATGAGAAGTCATATGTCCCTATGGAATAAAGTACACCTTACACAGGACTGCACTTACTGGCTAAGAGGACCCAGCTGGCCCTCTTAGCCAATGAGCTCCATCTCGCATGGTCCTATTTTGCCCTATAGATGGATTCTATGGATTTTTTCTTTATAGATTGATTTGATGGCTACTCCTGCCGGACAGGACTGGCGCCAGGAGGAACCCTGGTAAGTTATCAAACTGTACTATAATAGTTTGACTACTTACTTTGGGGTGGGCACTCCTAGCGCCATAACCGCTATGGTGCTTGGAGTGTTCCTTTAAGTATTGCTTTCTTATTTCCACAAACTGTTTCTTACATATTTACTTTCAAATTGCACTTCTGTTATTTCTGGTTCATTTTGCACTTTTTTGGATCAAAGGTAAGGTTTATTATTATGTAAAGTACAAGATTAATTGTAATATACCTCACTGTGCATTATTTGAATGTATATATAAGTTAATAACTGTTTTTAATGCAACTTCTGTCTTTGCTACATGGGGTAGCCATCTTTACTCCCTCTTTAGCTGGAACCATCTCTGTCCAGAAGAATACTGTACAGAACCCTCAGACTCCCAGGCCTCTAATAGAGAACCCATTAATGAGGAATACAAAACAAAAAAAAAAACACCTGCAGGGGTGAGACAGTCAACACAAACACACATACTCACTTTCTCATATTTTACCTTGGAGGCAGAGTACATAGCCATCTGGGAAGCTGATCTGCAGCAGGAACAGCAGCACACATTCACGATAGCTCCCTTTTTCCGCTGAACCATACCCGGCACTACTATATGCACCATTATTGTAGCTGCAGCAACATTCACATCGATGATCTCCCACAGTTTGTCTTCTAGAACCTCAGTTGCACGCTGGGGATACTCCAAATATTCCGCACTATTCACCAAGATGCCAATATTGACGTCTGCAAGGGCCTCCTTAATGGGAGGATACACTTCTCTTCCCTTGTTAAAATCGGCTTCTATAAAGCTTGTTTTAACTCTATGAGTTTTAGCAATGGACTGTGACACCACTTGTAACTTTTCTTTGTTGCCACCAATCAGAATGACATTGAGTCCCTTACGAGCCAACTCTTCTGCATATGCTTTCCCTATACCCTCTGTGGCTCCTTAGGAAAAAACAGAATATTAAGAAGACATATTATGTTATTTGTTGTTCATTCTTTGCAGATTTATAGGTTGCTCTCCTCTTTTATCAAAACTATGGAAGTGATTATTGAGGCTTCACTTAACATTCCTGGCTGGAGTTGACCCCCATTTTTATTGCAATATATTTGTAAATTGAATGGGACTCTTTCCTGTCACTGTTCACTTTGTGGTGAGAAGGACAATTAAAATTTTCAGCCAGTATTCCTTTATAGAAAATTTGGAAGTATCGCTTGGAATGACCATGAGTCAGCCTGTTGTTGCTGTCGCACAAATACACACCCTACAATTCAATGTTTCCTATGGAAAGCACTAGGCCAAGTGCAACAGTGCACATAGTTTATACCGATCTATCCACACCTGTAAATCTGGGTTCACAATGTCAAGCCCTATGCCAGATGTCTAAAAGATTCCCACTGCTGCAAACCTCCTCCTGCAACATAATAAGTAAAACAGACAGGGCAGTTATAAAATCTGTTTCCTGCCCAGAAATGACTAATGCAATTCCTACCATTTACTGTAGGTGCATGATATGCTTTGCAGTCCTTACTACTATGTCAATGACATATGGGAAAAAGCTAAGGGAGTCAGGAAATTAAAATGGGTTTAATGTATTCACTATATGAATATATTAATTAGAATATCAGTACGTTGTTAACTTCATTGTATTTTTTTTTTTTTAACCCCTTCAGGACGGAGTCAATAGTGCACGTTCTGATCAAAACAAAACGTAAACAAAAACTGGAATTTGCGCTATATGTCTGTTCAACCGTAATTCACCGCTGTCACATTAAGTGCACCTATACTTATTATATATAATTTTGTTCAGGAGAAACAGGGCTTTAATTTATCATTAACTATTCATATATGAATAAGATTTAAAAAAAATGTGAGAAAATAAGATTTTTTTTTTTTAAATTTGTATTTCCGTCTGACATTTTAGCTGTGAATGTCATAATACTGATAGGTTTTACTGCAAAAAAATGCACATATTTGTCATCAGCGATGTCTCACGAGTACAACAGTACCCCTCATTAACAGGCATACCATTTAAAAAGTAGACAACCCAAGGTATTGAAAGTGGGGTATGTTTAGTCTTTTTTAGTAGCCACTTAGTCACAAACACTGGCCAAAGTTAGCATTCATATTTGTTTTTGGGTGAAAAAAGCAAAAAACTAATATTTGGCCAGTGTTTGTGACTAAGTGGCTACTAAGAAAGACTGGACATACCCCACGTGCAATACCCTGGGTTGTCTACTTTTGCAAATGGTATGTCATCATGGGGGTAATTCTCATTTCTGGGCTACCATACGCTCTCAAAGTCAACATAACCAATCTGGCAAATTTCAATGTCAAAAAAATTAAATGCAAGCCTTATAGGTGACTCTCTAACTTTCCAAAACACCATAAAACCTGTACATGGGGGGGTACGGTTATTCTCGGGAGACTTCACTAAACACAAATATTAGTGTTTTAAAACAGTGAAACATATTACAACAATAATATAGTCCATAAAAGTGCCGTTCGTTTGTAAAAAAAATTGCAAAAAAAGTCACTTTTACTTAAAATATCATTGTTGTAATACAATTTACCAGTTTGAAACACTAATATTTGAGTTCAGCGAAGTCTCCCGAGTAAAACAGTACCCCCTATGTACAGGTTTTTTGGTGTTTTGGAGAGTTACAGGGTCAAATATAGTGCTTGCGAATTAAATTCTCTGCACTTTCTCCCTGTGTTGTCAGGCATGGCAATCAAAGTTTAATTAATCAAATCACATAATTATGTTAAAATATTACTTAAATATACACGTAGAATTTTAATATATATGCATTTATAGGTATTTAAATTCTACGTGTATACTAATGTAATCTTTTATGTAATTATATGTATTTATCTCTATATATATATATATATATATTATATATATATATATATATATATATATATAGAAGGCAGGGCCTGAAGTTGTGGGAGGGGCTTGGTTCCCCTTCTTAAGGAGCACCAGCCCTTCTCTCAGTACTGTCTTAGGTCTGGGGATTTCGTGTGGTCGTCACTTCCGGTCCGGCCAAACAGCTGTCTCTCATCTTCAGCTCGTGGGCAGCTTCCTGGAGGTCCAAACTGCTTCTAGCACGGCTGTCTGACTTTGCAGGCAGACACACGATATCAGGGGCTTTCAGGCTCGCAGCCTGTCAAAAAAACGTAAGTTGCGGTCGTCGCACTAACGGCGCGGCCGATGACGTCAAAGGGGGGTCTACAGGCGCACTGTATTTCGCATTGTCGGCTATCTACATTACCATGCATTCGGTTAAATGTTGTACAATTCGTTAGATTATTCGGTATCGGTAGGTTATAAATTACGGCTTGCTTTACCGTTCGTTTGCCGAATACTATATTATTTTAGTGACTGGTTTTGGTTTTAGGGCGACCTCTGGCGGCTGAATAGGTTATAGCAGGTCTTATATTTTATTTTTTTTCACAGTTTGTAGTTACATTATTTTGTTTATTTTTACATGTCTGACTGACCCCTGGTGGTCATAATGGTTATGACTTAGTGCTGGGAATTTATTTTCACATAGGGATAAGGATAGTTACTACTGAAAATAGGGGTTCTGGTAGGGTCGTATGGCTTGATAAGTTTGTGGCACTCATGGGCTACGTTGAAATATTGAATGAATCAGCAGATGGTTACTAGAGATGGAATCATTTTCTATACACATTTTTACGTCTCAAGCTCTCAAAGGTCCAAACACGTACACTATATGTACCACAGCTAAGAGTATCATATGTCTGCAATTGTTATAGGACATATATATTTAGGTGCTAAGGAATCTGTTGCATGTCAGTAATTTTTGACTTTTTTTCAGTCTCAACAGCATCCACATTGTGCTGCTACTATACCAATTTTTCACCTCATATAGGTCAGTAATTAGTGATGTCCCGAATGGTTCGCCACGGACGGCGAACATAAACATAAACTTTGACCCTGTACCTCACAGTCAGCAGACACATTCCAGCCAATCAGCAGCAGACCCTCCCACCTCCTGGACAGCATCCATTTTGAAGCTGCATTCTTAGTGAGCTGTCCAGGAGGTGGGAGAGTCTGGGAGGGAGGGTCTGCTGCTGATTGGCTGGAATGTGTCTGCTGACTGTGAGGTACAGGGTCAAAGTTTATGTTTATGTTCGCCGAACCGTTTGGGACATCACTATATCAGTAATCTTTAGTTATTATACTCTCAGGATCCCACAAGGGCCAGGTACTTATGTGTATTTTTTCTGTATTACTAGGTTTAGGTCATCCTTACTCCTTTGGAGTATTTGGTTCCAGTCCCCTACGGTCGGAATATATCGGTAGGTATCCTGTTAGCAGGGGGCTAGGAGGGTTGCATATTATCATAAACCCGGAAACTCACTATTCCTTTCATAGGTTACTACAGAACACCTGTTTCACCTCTTACTACTACCTTGCAATTTGCTCAGCAGGTACGTCATGATTTCTCAACAATTTCCCCCCTCCTTCCTACCCTTTCGGGTTCATAGTACAGGGCTATACTGGCATTTAAGAACATGAGCCTCTAGGTAAGTTTCTGGCCTTCTAAGCCTTACGTTAGTGGTCCCGCGAGGCCAACCCCCATCCTCATTTCGGAGGTACGACATTCCCTCGGGCCAATTCATAGGTAGCCGCCTCGCTTGGTTGCATAGAGAGGGCCTCACTTGTCACTCCCATTCTTTCTTATGCTTTTACAAGTCACAGAGAGGCCATCACCCCGCCATAATGTCAATGGCCACGTACCCCACACGAGCCAAATTATAGATAGTGCCTCTCAAAGCCGCTTGGCAACTAGCAGGGCCTCACCCGTCACGTTATTTCATAATAGTTTCGCCGTTTGGCATTAGTTACATCAGCCAGTCGGGTAGTGCCCCAGGTAACATGTTATTTTGTTTTGTAGCATGTCACAACTACCTGAAGGCGGGGAAGATGTGTCCATTCCCAGTACACCGGCTAGATCAGTCACTCCTTCCCGGGGTGACGACACAGCAAGCCCTGCATCACTCAGGGCATGGACCATTCCTATGATCACTGCCGAACTGAGGAAAAGGAACATTCCCTTCCCTGCTACGGCTAGGAAAGCCGAATTATATAGACTGTTGAATACTCAGACTGATAATTCGGGGGCGGGTGAAGGGTCTAGTGGTAGCCAGTCGACTGATCTACCTAATGTGTTATCTTCAGTCCTGACTTCCTTGGGCCGTATTACGGCCAAACTTGATAAGATGGATGCAGATAGACAGCAACGGTCATCTTAAGAACTAGGGCATCCGGTCGCTACGGTTCGCCCAGACCACCTAACGGGTAATATTCCAACTGGTATGAAAGACCTGCATATTATTAATTCGGCACACATGGTGTCTGCCAGCATCAAGGAGGACATCTTGGAAGGGAAGGATATCAATCTAGTATCACTTCTCATTGCTTCTCAAGATGTCCTTGAAAATAAAACTTATGCATATGGGGACGTGTCTGTAGTGTTAAAATCTAGGGACCCTAGATTGAATCGCAAGCTATCCTTACCCGAATTTGTGTTGTCTTTCGGGATCTATAGAGACGATAGTTGGATACTTTCGATAGTTGGATCTCTATCTCCATAAGCTGGCGGATTTGGGGCACAAGTACGGTGGCACGTCGTTTTACGACTACCACCGTGCATTTTCCGCAAAAGGTGTCGGCTGCTCTATCCCAGTTTAATTAGCAAGCGGATTGGGGGGTGCTTGATACGGAGCTTTTTTGCAGACACTTTACGGGCCTCAAAACCACAGCTTGTGCCATTTGTGCGTCCAACTCACACATGGCAAATTTGTGCCCTAACTCCCCAGAGGTGAATGCTCTATCCCCCTCCTACAAATATGATGCCCACTGGGAGAACAGGCAAGGTACTGAAGGATAAACTGGGACGTGATATTGTGTTTTTGGGGAAATCTCAAATTTGTAATAATTTTAACACAGGCACTTGCGGCTACAGTGCTTGCAGACTACTGCATGTCTGCTCCCAATGCGTCAGGGCTCACTCTAAGGTCATTTGTCTGAATAAATTATATCCCAAGCAGTACCTTTCATCTCTTAATGTCTCCCTGCTGAAAGAGTTATTGTGTGATCACCCATCACAACATCTCGTAGATTTTCTGGTGGCATGGTTCACTTTGGGGTTTTGGTATTGTGCACATGGCTACTGGGATCCTAGAATGTAAGAACTTGCAGACTGCCCAAGCAGCGCCCGACACAATTGACCTACTTCTACAAAAATAAATTAACCAAGGGTTTCTAATTGGCCCTTTCGACTCCCCGCCTTTTTAGCGTTTTGGAGAACTAACCCCATAGGACTCACAAGTAAATCCTCCAATAAGCAAAGGTTGATTCTGGACCTCTCTGCTCCCCATGCGTCCCTGTCCCCAAGTCTTAACTCACTTATACCATCTGAGGAATTTTCTCTCCAATATGCAACCGTAGACCATGCCATCACGACCATCCTCTCGGCGGGAGTGGGGGCATGGCTTAGTAAAAAGGACATAGTGAACGCATTTAAGTTACTCCCTATCCATCCGTCCCTGTGGCATTTACATGGTGTTAAGTGGCATGATTCATATTTTTTCACGCGTCTCACATTTGGGTCTAAGAGCAGCCCCAGGATTTTTTATATATTTGCTGAGACGTTGTGCTGGATGCTGCTTAACATATGTAAATGCACTACCGTTATCCATTATCCGGATGATTTTTTATCCGTAGAAAGTAACCTTCATGCTACCGCTGACCTAAGCATGTGGAGGGAATTCTTGCTGCACTGGAATGGAAAAAGCATTTTCATTCCAGTATGGAAGGATAGGTCATGTCTGTATTTTGGGATTTGCCGCAATGTTTGGCAATGAATGGATGTGGGGTATATGGCCAGTGGAAATTAATGAGATTCCCAAGTTTAAAGACACTTTGGCGTTATTTGAGCTCTACCCGATCGCAGTTAAATGGGGTGCATGCTGGTCTGGGAATACGGTGCGTTGTTTCTGGGACAACATGGCAACATGCCATATTGTAAACAAGGGACGTTCCACTTCTTAACGTGCATACATGTTCCCGGGGTTCTGAATATCGCTGCTGACCATTTATCTCGGTCTCGATTTCAGGAATTCCGGGCGGCACTACCAACAGCTACCCAGATACCAACTCCAGCGCCGCGGTGGCAGGAGATGGTTTGGGACTAACGGAACTACTCACTCAAGGGCAGCAACTCTCTCAAATGGGTCTTTCGGTTAACACCAGGAAGGCATACGGCAGGGCCTTTCATATCTTTAATACGTTTCTGCTTGACTACAAGATCACAGAACAATTTTCCATGGAAACAATGATTGCGTTCATTTCCTTTTGCCACCTTCACCTAACACTATCATTCAACACTATTAAGTTATACATCACCGGTATTCAACATCACATCCTCACTACTTGGCCTAATAAACAACGCTTTCTGTCATCTTACCAAGTTAAAGCTTTACTTAAAAGGTATCAAGGACTCCACCCCTACGCCCACACCATCCAGATTACCCATCCACAATCTCCTGTTCCAGTCACTGTCAAACCTGTTAGACACTTCACCATTTGAAACTCACACTAATCTGGTAATTAAAACAGCCATCTATTTAGCTTTCTACGCTTTCCTTCGGCCCAAAGAATTTACCACCTCTAACTACTGCACCACCAATTTTATCACAAGGTCAAACCTGGTAAAAGCACACAATCACTATTTACTGTCCCTACAACATACAAAAACAGTTATGAAGGGTCAGATGGTCACTATTACCTACTACCCCACTGGTAATAGTTCCCTCGGCTCCAACCCAATCACTGCTAGCCTTACACGGGAATACGCTCACTACGAGCAAATTCATGCTCTATGTAAGGATGTTGTTGGTTCGGTTGGGCTTGAACCCTGACAAATATTACGGTCATTCATTTAGAATAGGAGCAGCTACTACAGCTTCTAAAAGGAATATTCCGGCTCACATCATTAAGATATTAGGACGATGGAAGGCCACGATCTACACCAGATACATTCCTCAGCCTGTACAAGAAGTGCGACTAGCATTTAAAAATATGATTATGTGATATTCTATGTTGTATTGTAGTCTGAATAAACTGGTTACATCTTTTAGCCCTCTTTTATTTCAGGCCTACTACCTCGTCAGTTACGGCACACCCCAACTGACTTGTTCCATGCATGGTTTGTTTTAGGTTACTAATTCTACGGCTTTATGCCCTGACCACAAATAAATATATATATATATATATATATATATATATATATATTTGCGGTTATTTGTATTTTATATAAAGATATATATATATATATATATATATATATAGAATGTTATTCTAAGTGTATTTTGTTACGTATATATATATATATTTTAATAACAAAATACAGTTAGAATGAAATTACATATGACTAATTTAGATTAAATTTTTTTCAATATTTTATTTATTAATTTTATTATTTTATTATTGTAATTATATGTGTATATATATATATATATATATACACACACACACATATATATATATATATGTGTGTAACGTCATTCTAAGTGTATTTTAATACTAATATATGTGCTTATATTAATATTAAAATACACTATGTAATCACTATGTACACACACACACACACACATATATATATATATATATATATACATATACACACACACACACACACACAATTATATATTTATAAATGTATTTTACAACATGTTTAATAATATTTTTTTACTTTCCCACCAGCAGGGGGACTGTCTGACATTTGAGAGCGATCACATGGCCCCCGGGGGCTGCTTTTGCCGTGGGAGGGCTGCCTGGGCTGTGAGGCAGTCCTCCCAAAGCGGAGCGCCGGGTAGGTAAGTATCCTGGGTGCTCCAAGGCTCAAAGCCGTTACGGCGCTCTATGCCGCCGCAATGGCTTTAAAGCCCACTTAATGCGGGACGGCATAGAACGCCGTAACGGCGTTAAAGGGGTTAAGTGCCTCAGATTATCAACATTAATCAGAAGGAACTTAATTTTGATCTCTTTTCCTTTCCGTATAACCCAGGTAGCCTACCGAGGAGGGATGCAAGCTGTTCATTGCAGCATGTGAAGCTCTCCTGCAGGGGAATTGTTTCATGTGTGGTATGGCAGCTGTCAAACTATTTTTTACATGCTCTCCCTACAGCCTGCTCTTTTGTTTAACACTCAGATTACTGCCCTTGTTCACTATTAGGAGCATAAAAAAAATTCCCATTGGGCACTGTCCCAGTGACGCCTGGTAAGTTGGAGACAAAGAAACAGAAGAGTGGGGTGTCACGGCAAGGGTGTATAATTTATTATGACACTATGGAATATCATCTTTTAATGTGATTTCTTGTAGTAAATGGCACAAATTACAGAGATGCTATTGCTGAGGTCAACAGGGGTTACATCTTTTGAAGCTGGGACCCCCACAGAGGGCAGATGACAGAAGGGGTAGTGTGAATGGCATAGGAATGTGAAAAGGATTTTACTGTATGGATGTGAAGTCTGCAAGGTGTGAGGTTCTACACTTGGAAAAAGTCTGAATGTCTCTTCATCCATTTGGCCTGTACCAAATGGAAGTGATGTAAGTAAATCTCTTTGATATGTAAATGCCATTAGCTTTGTTCTAGTATCATATCCAAAGGAAGGACAAAAACATTCATATTTACCCCCACAGAATAATAATTAAGCCTCATTTTTGTTATATTTGGAATGTGACAAGCGCCATCTTCTAACCAAGTCCAAACATGAGTGGCCTAACTTGACCCTAGGGAAAGGAATTGTGATGTCCGTCCTATTGGATCGTGGGTGGGACGTGCAACATGTCTATGGAATGGGAAAATAATAACAAATTTGTAGATGCAATTAATATTTCTGTGGCAGGTACAAAAAAGAAGATAGAGTCAAATGTTTCCATTTGGATTGACAGTGGCCTGGAACAAAGGAGGTGGTCAGTTATTATTTCTGTAGGTACGCCTTAACTCCACCCCTGGGCAAGACTTGATAAACCACAGGGTATATATCTAATGATCCTGAAGGGTGCTTGTGTACTTGCTTGGGGCCAAGATCTAATTTTGGGTGAGTCACCATCTTTCCTTGCCAGAGACCCCCTGGACAGAAGTTGTACTTTGAAAAACCTAAGTGAGTAATTAGGACTTCTGTATTTTATCCTTTTTGTTTTTATCTGTTGTTGGTGTAAATAATTTGTTTATCATATATTTTTATATGCACTGTGACTATCTTTTGCTCATAATAAACATTCATTTATTAAGTTTTGCCTTTGTCTGGTTAAGAATCACGTTACCTGAAGAGACTAGTTAGTATTTTTATAATTCCTTAAATATTGTACTAAGTAATATTTGGTGGGTTTTATTATTGATTTACCTGGGGGACCAAGGCACCCCATTTATAAATTGTCTTGGTGGTGGCAGCGTTAAAGTAGTAATAGTTATATTATTATGTTTAAGTGTGGGTGGTGTTAAAGGGGGATTTTGTCATTATTTCCGGTCTAGTGCAGACAAATAGTGTACTTTAACCCTTTCACCACCACAACTACGTCACGCACACTCTTGGAGTAGGGTGCGTTCGTGACAAATTGGTGGCATAGCGGTGGGATAACTAAAAAGATTTTTCATCTTTTTGTACCAGATTTTAGTGTTGCTGGATTTGTTGGTTAATCCAGGCACTAAAAGAAATTGTGTCTCAATTTCCAAAGGCTGAACTCAGTGCATATATAATATATTTACACCTCAACAGTCCCCCCTCCTTCTCTGTTTTTTCTTTGCTATCTTTTATTTACTAAATGGAGTACCAGGCGCAATCCAAGGCAGCGCTAGACCAGCTTTGCCGGGAGAGATCTATTCCCTGTCGGGGGAAAACAAAAGAGGAACTATTACAAGCACTGGTGGACTATGATATGCAACAAGCAGTGCAAAGTGATGCCTCAAACACTGCAGAGGAGATACCTGTAGCTTTTGTCAGTGATGTACCAAGATCTGGAGATCCTCTGGATTGTTACTTACAAACTGTGTTGAAATATGTGGACTCAGCAGACACAAACCAAAGACTACAGCTTATCCTTCAGTATCAGGAGGCTGAGAGAGAGCGCCAAGCTGAGAGAGAGCGCCAAGCTGAGAGAGAGGCCTCCGAGCGACAAGCTGCCAGAGAGCATGAGCTAAAAATGGCTGAGTTAGAGAGGTTGACTGCCTCCCCTATAAGTATTAATTCCAGAGACTCTTCTGCACCCAAACCACGTGCAGAGAATTTTCCAACTTTGGACAAAGATGGTGATTTGGATGTTTTCCTGCGCAGTTTTGAAAAAGTTTGCAGGCAGTACCAGCTACCAAAGGACCAGTGGGCAAAATACCTCACCCCTGGTCTCAGAGGTCCTGCACTGGAAGCATTTGCTGCGCTTCCAGCAGAATTTGACCAGGACTATGATGCGATTAAGGCTGCCTTGCAGGAACGGTACAACCTTACTCCTGAGGTGTACCGAAAGAAATTCAGGACTTTGCAAAAGCATCCCACAGAAAGTTATGCAGCAGTTGTGGGGCACCTGGTGACAGCATTCCGACAGTGGACTACAGGGCTGGAGATTACCACTTTGGAAAGTTTGCAAGACCTGTTAATAAAAGAACAGTTTTTGCAGCTCTGCCCAGCTGATGTACAGGAATGGCTGCTGGACCAGAACCCCAAAACAGCATTGGAAGCGGGTAAGCTGGCAGATGTCCACACTGCCAACCGAGCAACAGTGGACCAGAGCAGAGGGTTTGCCAAGGGAACATCCAGCTGGAGGACCACACCACCACGCCTCCCCATCACCAGGCCTAGCGGGCCATCTTTTGTTTCAGCTCCTACCTCAGGGAGAGGGGGAGCTAGTGCCATGTCTGCGCAAGGAGATAGTCGCAGATGTTTTATTTGTTGCACAAGTGTTGCACATCATCAGCTGGGGAGGGACGCTCCTCAGAACCAACGTCCTCTGTGTTGTTTGTAACCAGATCAGAAGGCAGCAACAATGTGAATCTGCAACCTGTGACAGTTGGAAGAGAGGTAACTGTGGGACTCAGGGACACTGGGGCAGATGTGACTCTTGTGCGTCCAGAGCTAGTGCGCTCTGAGGAGTTAATTCCTGGCAGGACTCTAGCAGTTAAAGGAATTGGGGGGGTACGACTTGTAGTGCCAATGGCACGAGTTTATTTGGATTGGGGAGTGGGGAAGGGTTTCAGAAATGTGGGGGTAGATGAGAATATCCCTGCAAATGTATTACTTGGTACTGACTTAGGTAGATTGTTATCACAGTATGTGCCAGAAAGTAATGTATGTTATAAACCCAAGCCTCATAGGGGCCCTACTGTGCAGAGGGCAGTATGTGAAAATGTATGCAGACAATTGTGCTGGGAGGGAGGGCAGAATAAGCATGTGTGCGGGTCTGTGCCTGAACCAGAGGTGTCTGCAATATCATGTGAGAGTGTGCCAAGACAGAGTTGCTGGGAGGGAGGGCAGAATGAGCATGCGTGCCAGGCTGTGCCAAAACCAGAATTGTCTGTGGTATCAGGTGAAAGTTTGCCAGGGCAACTTCGCTGGGAGGGAGGGCAGAATGTGTGTCAATCTGTGCCAGAACCAGGGGTGTCCGTGGAAACTTGTGAAAATGTATGCAGACAATTGTGCTGGGAGGGAGGGCAGACTGAGCATGTGTGCTGGTCTGTACCTGAACCAGAAGTGTCTGCAATATCATGTGAGAATGTGCCAAGACAAAGTTGCTGGGAGGGAGGGCAGAATGAGCATGTGTGCCAGGCTGTGCCAAAACCAGAGTTGTCTGTGGTACAAGGTGAAAGTTTGCCAGGACAACTTCACTGGGAGGGAGGGCAGAATGTGTATCAATCTGTGCCTGAACCAGGGGTGTCTGTGGAAACAGGTGAAGGTGTATGCCGGCAATTGTGCTGGGAGCGAGGGCAAATTGAGCATGTGTGCGTGTCTGTGCCAGCACTAGGGGTGCCTGCAATACCATGTGTGAGTGGGCAAAAACAGCTGCACAGCGAGGCGGGGCTGGATGAGCGTGTGTGCCTATCTGTGTCAGAGCCAGGGTTGTTTAAGATGCCATGTGAAAGCACAAGTGGATCAAACCATTGGGAACCAGGGCAGGATGAGTTGATGTGTTCACCTGTATCTCAGTCAAGAGTATGTCAGGTGCCAGAACAAGGACAAAGTGAGTGGCTATGTGAGATTATGGAAGGATGGCCTAGCTGGGAGAGGAAATTACGTGAGTGTGTTTCACATCCAGTGCCTGACCAAGGGGTGCTAAAGGTGTTATGTGACAATGTGCCAGAAGAGAATTCTAGGGAGAGAGGGTTGAATGAATATGTGTGCCAAAATCTGCCTGACGCCAATGTATTGGCTGGGCTGTGTGAAAGTGTGGAGGGAGAGCATGGCTTTGAGGGAGGGCAGAGTGTGTGTGAGCCTTACTCTGCACAAGACTCAGCCAGTTCCCAAGGTGCTGTGTGTGTGAGGACATGGAGTGGAGGTGAGGGAGAGACAGAGGTTCCATCAGTAGATAGGGGGACCCGTCCACGGTCTGCCCAAAGTGAGGGGCATGGACAGTCTCAACCTGTGGGTCCAGGGAAAATGGCCGCAGGGGAACATACTGATGGGGGAACCACCATCCTTGTCAGCATATCACAATCACACCTCCAACATACACCCAAGCCAGCTCAGGAGAAGGCGTCTGTCTCTAAGCAACTTTTTGATTCTGAACCAAAGGTTCAGAGTAAAAAGGTGCAACGAGCCCAGCAGACAGACCACAAAATAAAACAGATAAGGAGTGTGGATACAGTGCAGGTACCCTGGGAGTGTCCTCTGTCTCATCTTGTGTGTGCTTACAGGGGAGTACTGCAGAAATCGGTTGGTTTCTTCCCCTTAGAGCTACTACACGGGCGCAGTGGGTGTGGCCTGAGAGATGTGATCAGAGCGCAGTGGGAGATGGAAACAGGCAAATCAGGCATGCGTGTTGTGGATATGGCTGTGATATGGCTTAGGGACAAAGGGCAAGCCTTTTTGGGGGAGGTGTGTGAACACGTGAGGGTTACCCCATTCATGTAGAACCAGAGTTCTGAAAAAGATGAGTATATGAGGTGGAGGCAAAAAAGGTGTTGATACACAAGGTAGAGGCATGTGAGCCTTCTCCCATTGCGTCTCTTATTTGGGGGAGGTGTCACGGCAAGGGTGTATAATTTATTATGACACTATGGAATATCATCTTTTAATGTGATTTCTTGTAGTAAATGGCACAAATTACAGAGATGCTATTGCTGAGGTCAACAGGGGTTACATCTTTTGAAGCTGGGACCCCCACAGAGGGCAGATGACAGAAGGGGTAGTGTGAATGGCATAGGAATGTGAAAAGGATTTTACTGTATGGATGTGAAGTCTGCAAGGTGTGAGGTTCTACACTTGGAAAAAGTCTGAATGTCTCTTCATCCATTTGGCCTGTACCAAATGGAAGTGATGTAAGTAAATCTCTTTGATATGTAAATGCCATTAGCTTTGTTCTAGTATCATATCCAAAGGAAGGACAAAAACATTCATATTTACCCCCACAGAATAATAATTAAGCCTCATTTTTGTTATATTTGGAATGTGACAAGCGCCATCTTCTAACCAAGTCCAAACATGAGTGGCCTAACTTGACCCTAGGGAAAGGAATTGTGATGTCCGTCCTATTGGATCGTGGGTGGGACGTGCAACATGTCTATGGAATGGGAAAATAATAACAAATTTGTAGATGCAATTAATATTTCTGTGGCAGGTACAAAAAAGAAGATAGAGTCAAATGTTTCCATTTGGATTGACAGTGGTCTGGAACAAAGGAGGTGGTCAGTTATTATTTCTGTAGGTACGCCTTAACTCCACCCCTGGGCAAGACTTGATAAACCACAGGGTATATATCTAATGATCCTGAAGGGTGCTTGTGTACTTGCTTGGGGCCAAGATCTAATTTTGGGTGAGTCACCATCTTTCCTTGCCAGAGACCCCCTGGACAGAAGTTGTACTTTGAAAACCTAAGTGAGTAATTAGGACTTCTGTATTTTATCCTTTTTGTTTTTATCTGTTGTTGGTGTAAATAATTTGTTTATCATATATTTTTATATGCACTGTGACTATCTTTTGCTCATAATAAACATTCATTTATTAAGTTTTGCCTTTGTCTGGTTAAGAATCACGTTACCTGAAGAGACTAGTTAGTATTTTTATAATTCCTTAAATATTGTACTAAGTAATATTTGGTGGGTTTTATTATTGATTTACCTGGGGGACCAAGGCACCCCATTTATAAATTGTCTTGGTGGTGGCAGCGTTAAAGTAGTAATAGTTATATTATTATGTTTAAGTGTGGGTGGTGTTAAAGGGGGATTTTGTCATTATTTCCGGTCTAGTGCAGACAAATAGTGTACTTTAACCCTTTCACCACCACAACTACGTCACACACACTCTTGGAGTAGGGTGCGTTCGTGACATGGGGATCTTACTAATTTTTCTTATTAATTTTTGATAACATGTGGCTGCCTAATGCCCTGGTTTAACATCACTACTGCAGGTTCCACATGCAGCTCTGTGTTCCATGATGGTGCTTCCAACAGCATCAAGGCAGTAGATCAATGGCACAGTTATCAGGAATGATTTTTTTTTTGCCAATGGCTTGTAACCAAGTGGGAATTTTGTTATGTAATACATTACATGTATTATGGGGAAATAATGCCAGCAACAATCAATTGGTTTATAAGTGTCTTCAGAACCACAAGATGGCAGTATGTTTCCTAATAACCTTAGTCTTTATGCCTTGTTATATTACTTGACATTTTAGGCTTCAGTTAGTGTGTTGGGGTTGGAGTTTGGGTTAGTATGTACTGTTTTGGGGTCATGTAAGGACCAAAGTGGAACATACACTCCCAGGCGCCATTGATTTCAGCTGCCGACATTAATTCAGTTCAGTAGAGACTGAGAATTAAAATGACAGCCACTGCCGCTCGGATATGTAACTCTTACTAATCTAAGACGGACCACAAACGTATAGCCTACCTCTGCCTGAGATTAGGACCTCTAAACTGCATGGAGGGGAACTATGTATTATTCCCTGCATATTATGAAATGTGATGTCAACATACATACAGTATGGGATTCTGAACTACGATCTGCATTTTCATTCATCAATTTAAGTGGAACATGAGACAGACATATAGAGACTATGGTCACCAAACAATGAAAATAAATGCAAGGACTTATAATTTAACCACTAAAGCACATCTAGCTCACCTGTTACTACAGCCCACTCTCCATACTGCTTGGTGAGGCTGGTCCTCCTGATGAGACAAGGTGTGACATGCAACTGGAAAAGACTGCAACACTCGTACAGGGTACGGAGACCTTTCCAAGTGACATAGCAGGCTCCAATCACAGTCAAAACTTCCACGTGACTTTGGCATGACTTGGCCACCTCGCGATACAAAAGGTGAAAACTGTCTACTGCCGCCATGTTGGCTACGAATATGACCTGTATTTAGGACACATACACATTTATCAGATAAATCGCCATTATAAAGTCAGTTTTGATGCAAGCGCAATTGATGCTAGTGCCATAAGCCATTTACAGTTGCAAGAAAAAGTATGTGAACCCTTTGGAATGATATGGATTTCTGCACAAATTGATCATAAAATGTGATCTGATCATCATCTAAGTCACAACAATAGACAATCACAGTCTGCTTAAACTAATAACACACAAAGAATGAAATGTTGCCATGTTTTTATTGAACACACCATGTAAACATTCACAGTGCAGGTGGAAAAAGTATGTGAACCCTTGGATTTAATAACTGGTTGAACCTCCTTTGGCAGCAATAACTTCAACCAAATGTTTCCTGTAGTTGCAGATCAGATGTGCACAACGGTCAGGAGTAATTCTTGACCATTCCTCTTTACAGAACTGTTTCAGTTCAGCAATATTCTTGGGATGTCTGGTGTGAATCGCTTTCTTGAGGTCATGCCACAGCATCTCAATCGGGTTGATACAAAAAGATATGGAAGGGCTGCGCCAAATAAGGGTAGATAGTCCAGTAAAGTATTGCTAGGGTGCCAATAGATGGTCTAGGATACTTGATAGAGTTCCTCTGTGGATGCGTCTGGTGTAGACCGTTCCGTATATGTAAATACAAGAGAGGTAGAGGCGACTAATGGTATAGTATGAAAGTTCAGGGTGTGATAGGTAACAAAAAGTAAAGAACTCACATTCAGGAGAGCTATGGCCAGCTCTGGTGTGGATTGCGTACAGCGGTATAATCCCCGCTTATGGGATATGTAGGGAGGGGTCTCCGTCAGCACCGCCTGGTAGTCCAGAGCTCGAAAAAGAAAGACAGAAAGCAACAATAGTGCTCTCAATTTTGATGTGGTTCAATGTGCAGATAAGAAGAGGTAAAAAACTCACATTTGAGGGAGCTATGGCCAGCTCTGGTGTGGATAGCGTACAGCGGTATAATCCCCGCTTATAGGATATGTAGCGGCGATACGTCCGTCAGCACCGTCTGGTGATCCAAGGCTCCAATATAGAAGAATAAAAAGCAGCAATAGTGCTCTCAATTGTGATAGGTTAAGAGAGTAGTAGAGAAAATAAAATAATACTCACAAAGATAGAGCAGAGGTACTGCTCTATGGATAGGCGCCGGTGGTATGATCCCCACCTAGGATTTCTTGGAGTACTGGAACTTTAAAATTGCCAATGGAAGTAAAAGTAACCAGGAAAGGTTAAAATGCCAGGAATAGGTAAAAACAAAAGTTGTTTAAAGTGCATAAAGAGTGCAATAAAAAGAGGATTGGTACAATAAAGTAGCCAAAAAACTTTTATTGATCTAAAATACACAGTAAAATACAGAATTAATAACCATAAACGCGTTTCACCATAAGTGGCTTCTTCAGAATGGGATAGGTTCAGGACTGAGTTCAGGACTCTGACTGGGCCACTTCAGAAGGCGTATTTTCTTCTGTTTAAGCCATTCTGTTGTTGATTTACTTCTATGCTTTGGGTCATTGTCCTATTGCAACACCCATCTTCTGTTGAGCTTCAGCTGGTAGACAGATGGCCTTAAGTTCTCCTGCAAAATGTCTTGATAAACTTGGGAATTAATTTTTCCTTAGATGATAGCATTCCGTCCAGGCCCTGACGCAGCAAAGCAGCCCCAAACCATGATGTCCCCACCACCATACTTCACAGTTGGGATGATGTTGGTGTGCTGTGCCTTTTTTTCGCCACACATAGTGTTGTGTGTTTCTTCCAAACAACTCAACTTTGGTTTCATCTGTCCACAGAATATTTTGCCAGTACTGCTGTGGAACATCCAGGTGCTCTTGTGCAAACTGTAAACGTGCAGCAATGTTTTGTTTGGACTGCAGAGGCTTCCTCTGTGGTATCCTCCCATGAAATCCATTCTTGTTTAGTGTTTTACGTATTGTAGATTCGCTAACAGGGATGTTAGCATTTGCCAGTGACTTTTGTAAATCTTTAGCTGACACTCTAGGATTCTTCTTCACCTCATTGAGCAGTCTGCGCAGTGCTCTTGCAGTCATCTTTACAGGACGGCCACTCCTAGGGAGAGTAGCAGCAGTGCTGACCTTTCTCCATTTATAGACAATTTGTCTTAGCGTGGACTGATGAACAGCAAGGCTTTTGGAGATACTTTTATAACCCTTTCCAGCTTTATGCAAGTCAACATTTCTTAATCGTAGGTCTTCTGAGAGCTCTTTTGTGCAAGGCATCATTCACATCAGGCAATGCTTCTTGTGAAAAGCAAACCCAGAACTGGTGAGTTTTTTTTTTTTTTTATAGGGCAGGGCAGCTGTAACCAACACCTTCAATCTCATCTCATTGATTGGACTCCAGTTGGCGGACATCTCACGCCAATTGGCTCTTAGAGATGTCATTAGTCTAGGGGTTCACATACTTTTTCCACCTGCACTGTGAATGTTTACATGGTGTGTTCAATAAAAACATGGCAACATTTCATTCTTTGTGTGTTATTAGTTTAAGCAGACTGTGATTGTCTATTGTTGTGACTTAGATGATGATCAGATCACTTTTTATGACCAATTTGTACAGAAATCCATAACATTCCAAAGGGTTCACATACTTTTTCTTGCAACTGTATATTACAGAAATTCACAGACAAAACAACAACTGATTTTAACACATCAACATTATATTGTATGGTCTTTTTATCTGATTTTACAGTGTTGCAGAACATGTTGATCTTTTATAAATGCCAGTAATAATACCACTGGTATGTAAATGTTGTAGTAATCAATTATGCGTATGTACCCCCACACCAGCACACCAGGATTTCATACAACTAAAGATATTATGTTTTTTTTGTGTTGGTCTAGACTCAGGGACGGTGCAAAGATTTTTGCCTCCCTAGGCAAAAGAAATTTGCCGTCCCCGCCCTCCCCCATGTGACATCACAATGCCCCACCCATATGATCTGCCATATGAACTAACGCCAGTGCTGCACACAGTGTGTGTTTACATTAAAAAGCCTGCAGGGACAGACTATAGACACCAGAACCACTACATTAAGCTGCAGTGGTTCTGGTGACTATAGGGTCCCTTTAATGTGAGGTAAATTATAGATTAGTGTCACTAATAATATACTAGATTGCCTACTTACAACCAGATGAGGATGATGATGGGCTCTGGCTGCAGTCTGGCTCCACTGGTCTGGTGTAGAACAGGATCTCTGGAGACTGTAACTGTGGCCACAAAATTCAATGTTCTTGGAGAACAGGAAGCAACTCAATTTTTTGGGCCCCGTGTGTGTGAGCTATGTGTCACAATGTTGCCTGTGATTACTCTGAGTTACAGCCTTGGGTGGCATGTGCTGCTATATTGATTCAGGTCATGAATAAATTGATCCGCAATGGCAGCATATGCTGCACAGGACATAAAATCCCAATAATCTCAGGCAGCATTGTGACATGTATGTCCCTGGTTCAGCATGAGATTTAATGAGATGCTGTTTCAAAGAGTTCCAAACTCTTATGAATAAAAAAATAAATAAAATGAACCTACCGTGATTCAAAACATTAGCAAAAATAAGTTTGCGTGGTTAGCATAAATAGGATGCACTCCTAAAAGAAAAAAAGAGCCAATAAGTATTTAGGTGTAACAGAATTGGACAAGCAGCAGGGATGCTATATACACTGCTCAAAAAAATAAAGGGAACACAAAAATAACACATCGTGGATCTGACTGAATTAAATATTCTTCTGAAATACGTTGTTCTTTACATAGTTGAATGTGCTGACAACAAAATCACACAAAAATTAAATAATAGAAATCAAATTTTTCATCCCATGGAGGTCTGGATTTGGAGTCACATTTAAAATTAAAGTGGAAAAACACACTACAGGCTGATCCAACTTTGATGTAAAGTCCTTAAAACAAGTCAAAATGAGGCTCAGTAGTGTGTGGCCTCCACATGCCTGTATGACCTCCCTACAACGCCTGTGCATGCTCCTGATGAGGTGGCGGATGGTCTCCTGAGGGATCTCCTCTTTGACCTGGACTAAAGCATCTGCCAACTCATGGACAGTTTGTGGTGCAACGTGACGGTGGATGGAGCAAGACATGATGTCCCAGATGTGCTCAATTGGATTCAGGTCTGGGGAACGGACGGGCCAGTCCATAGCATCAATGCCTTCGTCTTGCAGGAACTGCTGACACACTCCAGCCACATGAGGTCTAGCATTGTCTTGCATTAGGCGGAACCCAGGGCCAACCGCACCAGCATATGGTCTCACAAGGGGTCTGAGGATCTCATCTCGGTACCTAATGGCAGTCAGGCTACCTCTGGCGAGCACATGGAGGGCTGTGCGGCCCCCCAAATAAATGCCACCCCACACCATTACTGACCCACTGCCAAACTGATCATGCTGGAGGATGTTGCAGGCAGCAGAACGTTCTCCACAACGTCTCCAGACTCTGTCACGTCTGTCACATGTGCTCAGTGTGAACCTGCTTTCATCTGTGAAGAGCACAGGGCGCCAGTGGCGAATTTGCCAATCTTGGTGTTCTCTGGCAAATGCCAAACGTCCTGCACAGTGTTAGGCTGTAAGCACAACCCCCACCTGTGGACGTCGGGCCCTCATACCACCCTCATGGAGTCTGTTTCTGACCGTTTGAGCAGACACATGCACATTTGTGGCCTGCTAGAGGTCATTTTGCAGGGCTCTGGCATTGCTCCTCCTGTTCCTCCTTGCACAAAGGAGGAGGTAGCGGTCCTGCTGCTGGGCCTCCTCCACGTCTCCTGATGTACTGGCCTGTCTCCTGGTAGCGCCTCCATGCTCTGGACACTACGCTGACAGACACAGCAAACCTTCTTGCCACAGCTCGCATTGATGTGCCATCCTGGATGAGCTGCACTACCTGAGCCACTTGTGTGGGTTGTAGACTCCGTCTCATGCTACCACTAGAGTGAAAGCACTGCCAGCATTCAAAAGTGACCAAAACATCAGTCAGGAAGCATAGGAACTGAGAAGTGGTCTGTGGTCACCACCTGCAGAACCACTCTTTTATTGGAGGCGTCTTGCTAATTGCCTATAATTTCCGCCTGTTGTCTATCCCATTTGCACAACAGTATGTGAAATTGATTGTCACTCAGTGTTGCTTCCTAAGTGGACAGTTTGATTTCACAGAAGTGTGATTGACTTGTTTAAGTGTTCCCTTTATGCTCTCCTTCATGATTCTGATACTCAGTGAATGAGCCAGAGCATTAAAGGACCACTATAGTGCCCTGAGGGTGCCCCCACCCTCAGGGTCCCAATCCCGCCGGGCTGGATGGCAAGGAAAGGAGTTAAACGTACCTTTTTTCCAGTGCCGGGCGGGGAGCTCTCCTCCTCCCTGGCTGAATGCGCATGCGCGGCAGGAGCTGCGCGCACATTCAGCCAGTCTCATAGGAAAGCATTCATAATGCTTTCCTATGGATGCTGGCGTCGTCTCACTGAAGCACGCAAACGCCTCTAGCGGCTGTCAATGAGACAGCCACTAGAGGCTTTAGAGGCTGGATTAACCCATTTATAAACATGGCAGTTTCTCTGAAACTGCTATGTTTATAAAAAAAAGGGTTAGTCCTAGAGGGACCTGGCACCCAGACCACTTCATTAAGCTGAAGTGGTCTGGGTGCCTAGAGTGGTCCTTTAAGTGTGAATACAGTAGTCTGCCCCACCAGAGATACAGAACAAATGCTCCCATAATGATCAGCCAGGGATCCAAGTACCCACTGATTTCTTATAATCTCAGCCAAGGATGCAGGTTGTGGGTCAGAGCCAATGCATCGCTGAGAAATGATCAGCGTCTCCCGTGCAGCACTGTCCCAGGAAACACCTCTAGTGGCCAACTCAGTGACTGCTACTGGAGGTGTCCCTAGGTACTGTAGTAATGTAAACACTGCCTTTTATCTGCAAATGCAGTAAACACTCTTTTTTTTTTTTTTAAAGCATTTACATGAAAATTCCTGCAGGGACCTACTATACATACCAGAATAACTACATGAAGCTATATTTGTTCTGGTGGCTATAGTGCCCCTTTAAATAATGTGAACAATGTCTGGAGTTTGAAGTCCAATCCCCCAGGACGTATCCTGATTATTTAAATACACTGCATTGTAATGTTAGTAACTAGTGACTTTAATAAACTTAAAACACAAACACCAAAAAAAAGTATCTAAAATATAAATAACATAAAATATATAAATGTAGATTTAGGAATTTATAATTAATAAATATACATATATCCTTGTCTATCAATATGTTAGCTCCACCCATTCGGCTATGCAATTAACATTTCAATTAATATGATATATGACTGACAGCACATCCTATGAGTTATGACAGAACCTTATTGTAGTAGCTTTATTTATATTTTAAGTGTTCCATAAAGAACCTTGCAAGCAATTCCTTACTATTCGAGTGTGACTCACTGGGTTAAATATCTGGGTAATTTCTTGTTTCAGGGTATGTTATTAGGAGTGCAATGAGGAATAAAATACTCAAAAGGAAAGATATGAGTATCAGTATCAGTATCAATAAGGGGCTGATAGGAAGCATTAGAAGCCAGTTGCAAATCCAGTTTGCATTTAAGGGGAGTATAATAGAAGGAGGCGCTGTCCATACCTTTCAGTATTTTGTAAGCAAGTCTCAGATCTGCTAACTGGTAGGAAAGCATTGCATATTGCAAATTATTGAAAGTGCTGGAGTAATAGTTGTGGATTAGAAATCCAAGATGGCCACCACACATGCTCTGTATAGCCTCTCCAGTATGACTTATAGCCAGACTCCAAAATGGCCGATTTAGACTCAATAGAGCAGCTACACATTGAAGGTAAAGGAAGTAAGGGAGCTCAAACTTTTACCGCTTCATAACTATTTTTTTTAAGACTTTTTGGCACTTTTGCATACTTCCAAAGAGTCCCCATTTAGGAGGGACAGTCCCTATTTCTAGTTGCATAAATTATTAGTAAGTCACCTAAAACCTCTTAGAACAATCTCACCCCTGGCCACAACTGCTCACACCCCTAAAATTAAAGTGCCCCTCTTTGTCTATTTGAAATGTGTTGAGCTGAATAATTTTTCTGTGTGCTCTTGCCACTGTAATGTAATGCTTTCTTTTTATATGTTTCTTTTCACTTTTTGTACATAATATATAAAATAGGGTGTTTAAAAAATATTTGCAAAGAGGAACAGTTATAATCACAAAAAATACCATTGCAAATCCTTTCTATACAGGTAGTCTGTTTCTACAGGTCAAAGGCTCTCAGCCTGAACTCCAGAAGTAAACAATAGTTAGCATATCACAAACCCAACAAATGTTTTCACAATTTTGCTTATAGTACTTATTACACAACTAGTGAAAATTCTGAAAAATCGCTCCAAATAAATTCAGTTATTAGATTTGATTGTGTAATTACCTCATAAATCTTGGAATTTACTTAAAGGACCACTATGGGCACCCAGACCACTTCAGCTTAATGAAGTGGTCTGGGTTCCAGGTCCCTCTAGTTTTAACCCTGCACCTGAAAAGAGAGCAGTTTCTAGAGGCCGCTTCTGCGATTCTCACTGAAAATCACAGTGAGAAGACGCTGACGTCCATAGTAAAGCATCGAGTAACGCTAAAAAGTAAACCCATCAGAGTATTTAAGAGCATTTTCACAGATTATATTTAACCGTTTCAGGACATACTTGAAAACGAGAGAAATCTCAATGTATCCTTCCTGGTAAAATATGTTATAAATTTTATAAAAATCTTTGAAGATATTTTTAGCCCTTCCTTAACCCTACCTAACCCTAAGTAACGCAAGCTCTAACATGAACTGCTTATTGTTTAGTAGATCAGCTTAAAGGATCACTATAGTGTCAGGAAAACAAACTCGTTCTCCTGACACTATGCAACCATTAGGTCCCCCACCCTCAGGGCCCCCCTTCTTTGGCGAGTTACTTACTTTAATCCAGCGCCGGGCTCCCTCGGCGCCGGTGACCTCTCCTCCCACTCTGACGTCAGCTCCCGAGTGGAGCCGCACGCGCATTAAAAACGCCCATAGGAAAGCATTACTCAAACAGTCCATAGGAAAGCATTTCTTCTGTGTTTGTGTTTAGCTATAATTTTCCTCTTACTCCTTTACTGTACCCACACATATTATATACCGTCTTTCTCACCATTAAATGGTCTTTCTAAAGATACCATTATTTTCATCATATCATATAATTTACTATAAAAAAATTATAAAATATGATTAAAATTTTTTTTTTAACGTTTTTCTAACTTTGACCCCCAAAATCTGTTACGCATCTAAAACCGACAAAAAAACACCCATGCTAAATAGTTTCTAAATTTAGTTCTGAGTTTAGAAATACCCAATGTTAACATGTTCTTAGCTTTTTTTTTGGAAGTTAAAGGGCAATAAGTACAAGTAACACTTTGCTATTTCGAAACCATTTTTTTTTTCAAAATTAACTAAAGTTACATTGTAACACTGATATCTGTCAGGAATCCCTGTATAACCCATCACATGTATATATTTTGTAAAAGAAGACAACCTAAGGTATTAAACTTGGGGTAGTTTGACTTTTTTTCATGCAACCATTTTACCACCAATCTATGCCAAATGTAAAAAAAAATAATTGGTGATTTTTTGGGACACACGTAGCAATTTAAGAATGTTGGGTACACTATGAAATTATCTATATTCCCAGTAAAATCGTCTCACTGGCATGTTAGGGGTCCAGTGCGGAGTTAACCCATTAGTCACTGTTAGTTGCACTCAGGAGATGGCTTAGCATACAAGAGGGCACACTTAGGGTTCTCAAAGAATGAAGATATACATAATAAAATATTTTTTTGAGGGTATAAAAGTATTAGAGCGCTAAACCTAAACAATATCTTGTTGAAATACTGCTGTCATAATGTAAAAGTGTAATATAAACATAGTCACTAGGTGGCAGCTTACTCTATTTTACTGTTTAGTCCAGTGGTTCCCAAACTTTTTAGGTTCAAGGCGCCCTTATTATTTCAATATTTTTCCAAGGTGACCCAAGTTTAACTCCTTAAGGACAGAGCTTCAGAAGCTTGTCTTTCACTTAATGACAACAGCATTAGTTTCATTTTTTGCTGTTTGCGTTCAACTGCAATTTGCATTTAACTAATTTATTGCACCGACACATATTATATACCGCTTTTTAAAGGACAGAAAGGGCTTTAATTTGATGTAACATATATATATATATATATATCTATATATATATATATATATATATATATAGATATATATATATATATAAATGCTTATTTATTATAAAAAATACAGAAAAATGCACAAAAAATTAAAAACGTGTGTTTTTTTTTTTACAGTTTTTGCAATAATAATGTGTGCACAATTAGTGCAGGTTAAGGAAAGTAATTAAAAATAAATTCATTTAGTTGTTCTGATTTATAGAATATATAATTTGTCTCTGATTTTAAGGTTTTTTTTGGTTGTTACAGGTCACAAAGCACAAGGAGTAAAATAAACTTTTAATGTGGAGCGATTTTAGAATTTGGTATGTTTGTCTTGTAAGCTTAATAGCCATAAAAGAAAACAAAATTGCCACACAAAAGTATATATTTATATAAAGTAAACATCACGGGCTATTTACCTAAGGTTGTTTTGACACTTTCTACGTAGCCATTTCACCGCCAACCTCTGCTAAATATTGGAGTAAAATTGTGTTTTTTTTGGTTTTTGGCACACAAACTTATAACAAAGAAATTCTCATGTGTATTTTGTAAAGTTGGTGTGTGCTATTCCTGTACTAAGTTTTATTTTGTGTTCAGTTACATCCGCTGAGTAAAATGACACCCCCATTGTATGTCTTTGGCACTATTTCGTGAAGTTACAGTGCCATATAGGATACCTGTCCTTTTCAGTATTCACAGTAGAATTTTGAGAGATGGATTTAATGAGCCTATGCTTCCATTTGGTATTATAGTAGTTTGACTGTTAAAAAAAACCCCACAAAGGCCTACCATTTGTAAAAGTAGACACTCCAGGGTATCTCATAAGGTGCATATTGTGCCTTAACATGTCCCCATTTTTTCATCAATATATGCCAAAGTATGTGGTAAAAAATAATATTGTGCATTCTTTACATACGGATTGCATTTTGTATATTTCATATGTGCCACTAAGTTCAAACCCCCCAAATTATGCTCAGCTAAGTCTTCTGAGTAAAAGGACACCCCCATTGTATGTTTTTGGCACTATTTCGTGAAGCTACAGTGCCATATAGGAGACCTGATCTTTTCAGTATTCACAGTAGAATTTTGAGAGACGGATTTAATGAGCCTTTGCTTCCATTTGGGGTATTATAACAGTTTGACTGTTCAAAATAAACTCACAAAGGCCTACCATTTGTAAAAGTAGACACTCCAGGGTGTCTCATAAGGTGCATATTGTGCCTTAACATGCCCCCATTTTTTCACCAATATATGCCAAAGTAGGTGGTAAAAAATAATTTGGTGCATTTTTTACATACGGATTGCATTTTTGCTGGGCATTTTGTATATTTCATATGTGCCACTAAGTTCAAACATCCCAAATTATGCTCAGCTAAGTCTTCTGAGTAAAAAGACACCTCCAATGAATGTCTTTGGCACTATTTCGTGAAGCTACAGTGCCATATAGGATACCTGTCCTTTTCAGTATTCACAGTAGAATTTTGAGAGATGGATTTAATGAGCCTATGCTTCCATTTGGTATTATAGTAGTTTGACTGTTAAAAAAAACCCCACAAAGGCCTACCATTTGTAAAAGTAGACACTCCAGGGTATCTCATAAGGTGCATATTGTGCCTTAACATGTCCCCATTTTTTCATCAATATATGCCAAAGTATGTGGTAAAAAATAATATTGTGCATTCTTTACATACGGATTGCATTTTGTATATTTCATATGTGCCACTAAGTTCAAACCCCCCAAATTATGCTCAGCTAAGTCTTCTGAGTAAAAGGACACCCCCATTGTATGTTTTTGGCACTATTTCGTGAAGCTACAGTGCCATATAGGAGACCTGATCTTTTCAGTATTCACAGTAGAATTTTGAGAGACGGATTTAATGAGCCTTTGCTTCCATTTGGGGTATTATAACAGTTTGACTGTTCAAAATAAACTCACAAAGGCCTACCATTTGTAAAAGTAGACACTCCAGGGTGTCTCATAAGGTGCATATTGTGCCTTAACATGCCCCCATTTTTTCACCAATATATGCCAAAGTAGGTGGTAAAAAATAATTTGGTGCATTTTTTACATACGGATTGCATTTTTGCTGGGCATTTTGTATATTTCATATGTGCCACTAAGTTCAAACATCCCAAATTATGCTCAGCTAAGTCTTCTGAGTAAAAAGACACCTCCAATGAATGTCTTTGGCACTATTTCGTGAAGCTACAGTGCCATATAGGAGACCAAGCCATATCAGTTTTTACCAAAGTTTTAATTTTGACGCTGGGCCTATGTGCAATTTCCAAGCATCTTTGCAGGTTTTAAATTCAAACTACCCCACAAAGGCCTACCATTTCTTAAAGTAGACACCCCAGGGTATTTCAAAAGGTATATTTTGAACCTTAGCGTGGAATCATTTTTCCGCTAGCTTGTACCAGGTGTAGTGGTAATAAGCATTTTTTCTGCCCTTTTGACACACAAAGTGAGTTTGCACAGTATATTTTGCAAACCTTATGTGTGCTGCCACTGT